AACCCTTAAAAAAAACATGATTTGGTCGTAACATTGATTATGGAGCTCTCAGAACTATTGTCCAACTAATTGAGAAATCTATTGGACGTGCTCAGAGCTTTTGTTGAGCAGAATAAAATATATGTAAAATATGACCAAATTAAAAAAGCAACATAAAGTGGAGAGTATATGTAAATAGACTTTGTTTTCGGCGAGTATATTTGCTTGTTTCACTAAATGGCCAAGGTATTTAGCACACATTAATTATTTAGGCAACCCACTACGGGCCCTTGTAAATGGCCAATATGCTGCAATTTAAGGGCAAACAACAGCAGCAGAGTTACCCCCTCGTAGCGGGCACGCTTAATGCCGTTTTCATTAGACGCTCCTGGTCGGAGCTCCTTGGCCGTGGCTCAAAATCAGATCCAGCAGGCAACGCGAGTCGACGCTGAGCGCATTAAAAATGCACGAGATACCTCTGCATAATCCATGAGAAAGTGTCGACAAGTAAAAACATCATTGTCGATAGCACAACAAACGAGCAGCGGGACGAGCTGGCAAACCTGTTGGCTGCCAAAACGTACTGGCAGAGCACGGATTTTCCAGTTCCCAGTGGTGCAACGCCCACCCTCATGCTTACCCCCACCCCGGGCAGCAAGTATGTATGCTCAACTCAATCCACTCAACGGCTGATGATTGAGTCGCTTGTTTGACTGCAACCCACCCAGCCCATCCGCCCCAGCAGCCCAAGCAGCCGGAGGCCAACTAAGAGCATCGCATTGCCGAGCTGCTGAGTTGCTATCAAATTGAATTTCATGCCCGTGCCACCAATTGGATTAGCGGTTACTAACACCGCGGATATTGTTATTGTAAATTATGCGCGCGATTTCTTGCGTTTCGCTCAAAAAAAAAAAATTATAATAGATACATATTGAAGTCATCTTGCGGAATAACAAATTGAGTTATTGGCAGCACATTTGATAGCTATATATGCCTCGACGTGTAGCTCAAGCGCTCAGTGTGCACGTAGCTGGGCTTAATTTAAATAAATGATGAGCGCATGCCTTGATAATTCTTTTCTGATTCTCAAATCCTCATTTGCTTACCTTCGTCGCTCTTCTTTAAGATGCCCGCAGGTGGCGATGGTGGAAACCTGGAGGCGGCGATACAGAAAATATGAGAAAATATTGAAAATTATACAAAAAGTTGATTGACTTAAAGTCGCCTTCTCTCCCAGCTGCAATCTGCTGGCTTGTCTTGTCAGTCTCCACCTGCCAGTTCCACTTCCACTTACCTGTAGCAATAGGGATGTGGATGGGCATGGGCGTGTGGATGCGGATGAGAGTGCGGGTGCGGGTGTGGGTGCGAGTGCGGGTGGGTCACAGCGGGTATGTCGAAGAAACTTGATGTTCTTTCATGGCGCACGCCTTTGACATTCACTGCAGATCCAGGGCGGCATCAGACAGGTGGGAGCACAAGAAAAATAAACATTTTTAATGTGATTTTCTGTAGTACATGTTAGGTAGCTTGACTTTTGTTAGATAATATTTCACATTACGGCTCGCACCGGGATATCTTTGAGTCTGAAAATCGAGCTTGTCACATGCACAAGCCTAGAGCTCCTAAGTAGACAGTCGTGCGAATACACTTCGTACAAAATAGTGGCCAAAAACGCAACCCACAACTTAAATAATAACTAAATAAATGTTTTGTTAAGTCTATGAAAATATGCATCAAAGTCTCTG